AGGCGATTTTGACGACAAAGTGAAATGGACGGCCTTTACTGTGGAAACGTACAACCGACTGGGTGCCGGCGAATCGTGGTTTTCTCGTTCGCGAGACAATACACTGGCCGCCAGTTCACTGGGTGTCGGGGTCACTTCGCTATGACATGAAGGTCACCTTGCCACAAGCAAACAGAAAGACTGCATTCGCATGAGTGAATGATGTCGAATCTGTAGCGAGATTCATCACCGATTGCACTTGGGATCACCACGAGATGTATGACCGGGCAAAGACGTCGCGACCGTGTATGTGGTGGACTTTAAACCCAACCGTCTAGAAGCCTGGCCGCCAACGCCGATTTAAACAAGGAAATATGATTCATACTGATGGAACATGCCGCTTATTGTGCTAACTTTTATCATTTTTATCTAAGTTACCTGACAAAAGTCCAATTTTATCCAATTAAGTGACCAGGGACCGTTCACACAATCAGTCTTCCGTCCTGTTTTTACTCTGCGTTAAAGCGGAAATCACCCGTGTGGACCGTTAGGCTCCACCGTGGACTGCGTTTAGCCCAGTGGTTAGGGGGTTGGACCTCTAAACAACTGATCGTAGGATCGAGCCTCCGGGGTAGCAGATCCCGATGACAGCTGACAGTTCAACCGTCGTTGACGAAGACGACGTCCACGGTTTGGTCCACAGCGGTCACAGTGACCTGTGTGTCTCTCTGACCGGTCACAGAGACTAGGATGACACAAGTCACTGAACAAACATGCACACGATCTGTGTACCCAATCGGAGCAAAAGTACATCCACTGGCAAGCAACCAGGTGTCAGGTGCACCAGGCTGCGAGAGTCACGGTTTGGTAAATCATAGCATAGCAGACTCACATCATCTTTAGAGTCCAGAAGCGGTGAGATGCAACCCTGCATTTAGCCTGGAACATCACCCCTGGAAGGCTGGTAACCATCCAGTGATCGACTGAGAGTCCCTACTCATATATAAACACACACACACACACACACACACACACACACACACACACGACAGTTCGACCGTCGATTTCGACGATGTCCACCGTGTGCCCCACAGCTGCAGCAGCGGTGGGAGCAGGGACGGTGACTTGCGCAGGGGTTTATAGTGCCGGTAGACTTGCGCTGCATCTACCTACACTCTCTCCTCCTCCCCCGCCTGGGCCCGGTGTCAAGACAGAGTCAAGAAGACCGGAGACGAGGGAGGCCGCAGGTGGATGGCTCGGACGAATCCTCACCTTGGCGTTCCACCACACCCCCTGGTCCACACAACAATAACCAGGATTTCAACCAACACAAGAGAGATTTGGAGGCTGGCACGGCCGAAGCCTCACCTGGGCGTGCCGCCAACGCCTGGCTCGGATCCCACACTGTGATGGGAGTGCCATAAAGGCCACATTAAAAAGGAGCCATTGCAGCCTGACTCTCAGACCGCCTCCCGTTAAGGAGGAGGTCCAAGGTACCCCGTCAGTTGGCAACCTTCCAAGCCACGGCTTTTAGCGCACCGTGATAGCTCCAAGCGCGTCAGATTGTTTATAGTGAGGAAAATGCGCTGAGTCGTCGACCTCACTCTCCCTTCCCATCCCCACACCCCAGCCGCTGTCCGAGCCGGTCAGCAGACTGGAGTGGGAAATGGGCGCGGTGGCTAACATGGTCGACTGACCATGCCTGCGCGCGCCACAGCACGACCTGGCCCCCCATACACACACAAACACCAGGATTTCACACAACGGGGGTTGGACGGCGTGTCTCCCACTTGCGTGAGAGAGCCGTGGAAGGTGCTGCTTCAACCCGTCCCCAGCCCACCAGTCCGCCACTCCACACAGCACACACACACACAACGTGACGAACTGCGTGAACCGAGAGCGGGCGTCAATCAGCAACCTTCCTATCCACGACACTTGACGTGTCGGGATAGTCTCGGACTCAAGTCACCGGTGCAGCCGAAGCCGCATGGGGACCGAGTCGAGAGCACACTTCCCACTTGCGTGGAAGGTGGCAGTTGGTGCATGCGGTGGGTGAGTGTTGATGTGTGTTGTTGATGGTGGAGGAGGGTAGGGAGTGTGTGAATGTGTGGTGTAACCGGCGGTTGTCTACCGCAGGTCGTCGTGGATGCGCATGTGACCGAATAGGCCCATACGATGCCTGAAAGTGCAAGGACCGTGTGGGCAGTTGAGTCGAGCTTGGTGAGTGTAGGTTGGTGCTCCAGGCACTGGTTCTCCAGTCTCTGTGCGATGGATTCGCAAGTGACCGACCAGGCCGATGCGTGAGGTGAACGTGCGTGGACAGTATGGGCACACACGCACTTCTCACATGCATGAGAGTGTCAGGAGTCACATTAAGAAGGAGCCTGACTTTCCAGCCCATCGATTCGCCACCCCACAAAAATACGCACACCTGGACCTGGACTGCATTAATTGAGTTGAGGCGCCAGTCGGCAACCTTCCAGGTCACGGCACTTGGCGCACCGTGATGGTCTTAGGCTCAAATCGCACATACAGCAGAGAAGGCCCATGCAGAAGGAGCCGAGAAGCACTCTCCGCACTAAAATGAGAGGTTGCGATTGAGTGCTTTGCTTTGTGTGACGATAGGTGATGTTGTTGTGTGATGCAGGCGCTGGTGGGCAAAGGGGTGATGGTGTGGCATAGCCACCGGTTTTCCTGAATGCGCATGCGATCTGACAGGCTCATGCGGAGGCTGAATGTGTCAGGACAGTCAGGGCAGTTGAGGCGGGCGTGTTGCGTTTATGCGGGTGCTCCAGGCACCGGCTCGCCAGTCTCTGTGCGATGGATTCGCAAGTGACCGACCAGGCCGACGACAGCTAATAAGTCAGAAATGACCATCCCAGTCTCCCTTGTTACTTTATCGCGTGTCTCTCATGCGTGACCGGCGGAAAGCTATGCTTGAACTACGCTTGCTTTGAAGAGAGTCATGTGAAATGGCTGGAACAGGGTTCACGCATACGCGTAATTTTAACAGGGATTACTTTGCGTATTGGCACTCGCGATGGGTTCCGCGGCGTATGGGTTGCTGGCTGGGTGATAAGTGTTTGGCCGCGTTGATCGTCCACAGCGATCAGCGTATAGTTCTCCTCTTCAGAGGCCATGGTAACTGACAAGTTCCGATTGGCGCACCCGGCCCTTACCACACATTCAAAACAGGAAACCAGCAATACTCTCGCATAAGTGATCGACTGCACTTCCCAACAGCTCTCCTGGGAGTCATAAACTGGCTCAAACCCACAATAAAGATCTTCGTGATTGCAGTAGAATAAAGATGGAAGCCGCAAATTACGAGGTCTACCAACCCCATTCCAGCTGCATAAAAACGTAAAAGGCGCGCAGACATTGAAGATGAGAGTTTTTCTGTGTTTTCTTTGTACTTGAAAAAGTTGGACATGTACGGCGGTGACGATGACAACGACGACGGCGGTGGCGATGCCCCTCTCAGCCCAGGCATAAAACCCAACAGAGTGCTGGAAAAAATACTCCGGGATTCTCACCGCCTTTCTGAACAAGCTGTTACATTGAGATCGATCCAGACAACACTCAACAAACTGCTGGATCTTCATGAGAAAGCCGACGCGAAAAACAGAAAGCTCAAAGGTTGGTCTCCACGTTTTGCTCTGTATTCAGGCGGCTGGACCTCATCATCCTCATCATCATCATCATCATCATCATCATCATCATCATCATCATCATCATCATCATCATCATCATCATCATCATCATCATCATCATCATCATCATCATCATCATCATCATCATCATCATCATCATCATCATCATCATCATCATCAGCAGCAGCAGCAGCAGCAGCAGCAGAACATGGACTATGATACTCCCACGAAAACCTAAAGGGGGCACATCACGAGAGATATATGTGAACCGCGGATCGCTCCCATCCCTTCTAGCAGTGCTCTGATCTGCTGACTGCGACGAAGGAGATGTCCACTGAATAGCCTGCAGCAGGGAATGGAATTCCGCGAGTGAACCTTATTTTTGTGACTAATTAGATCATCCGAGTCCATGTTTAGTGTTAGCACCGCAAATAGTTGAGACATTTAACGTTATTTTCAAAAGGCACTTCAGGAGCACGTTGTGTCTTCAAATGCTCTATCTATTACAACCAAATTTACTGAACTGCAGTAAGGCTAGGCAAATGCTATATGTGGATACTTTAAAGCTTTATTTGCACCAAGAAGTTTATTGACCACTGATGAAGTACTGAACAGACTGTTTCGAAAAGGTTACTTATGACATTCCTGATTTTTGAGGACGAAAGTATTTTTGAAAAGACAAAGGCGACGAAACGTGCATAATTTATTGACGTCATCAAATTTCGTGACCCCTTATTCAACTTCACACGGTCAGTGCGTATTTATAAGATAAGGTGAGCTGATCAATCAGAGATAGACCTTGTGGAATGAAACATGATAGGTAAATAAAACATAGACTGTTGGTCATGGGTGCGCATGGCAAGGGGGACAGAGGGGGAGAGAAGTTTTCTAAACATGCGAGTTTTCTTTACGGTGAAAACCTGTCAGGCGTGAATAAAATTCCATCATGCGGGGGGGAGGGGAATCGGAGGACGGGTGTGGGAATGGGGTTATGTCATTGTCGATCCTTACCATGGCAATGCGAGGGTGATCACATGATCCAGCTGCTTTCAAAGTTCCGGTTTTCCCCTCCGCATTGCAGCGGCCTCGGCAAAGCGCAGGAGACGCACAGTCTTCGCCCGAAATAGGACCTTAAATGCAGTCATTGGGTTCAGCGTGTGGCCCGTGTCCACTAGGTGCTTCGTAAATGAGCTCCTGGATACCTTATTCATCGTCCTTGAGATAACCCCATTCCAAATCGAAGAAAAATAATTATTTTAATGGATGTTTATGTTTACTTGGTCCCACGGTGATATCACACAAAGTTAATGCCCGATGTAACCTTGGGAGGTGAAGCGAATGACTGCGACTTGCAGCAGAGCAGGCGTCAGACTATTTGGGTCCCAGATCCCCTTTACAACAGATGCCAAGGAACTATTTCTGTCTGTTTTCATTTTCATTTGCGTAATGAGCCTTTCCAAAAGCAAGATAATTCACTGTTTAAAACCTTTATCTTCGGTATAGGTTTAGACCTAGGATTGAGGTTGCGGAGGGGTTTCGTGTCGAAGTTTACGGTTAGAGTTAAACCAGTTCAAGAGTGAATGACATTACGTTTTGGCCTTACCACTGTGAGTCGAGTCACCGACCGTTTCTGTGAATGAAGTTCTCTCTGATGATCTGAGGACAACAGATGGCAGGGAAGACCAAGATCAGGCAGCTATTCGTCATTCGAACCTAGCACAGCAAAACTTTTGCTCTATTTTCAGTTGAAAACAGGCATGTACAGCAGAAGTTATTGAGGCCAATAAATTTCATGACGGCTTATCAACTGGAGCCCGTTTCTGCATAACATAGGTAACGAATGGAAGTGCACAGCAATATGAATTTGTATAGAATGACAGTGCATAAGAGCAAGGCAATGAATAATCAGATGAAAGACGTTCCCATAAGCATCATACAGGAAAGAGGGAAACGGGATGTTAACAACGAATCACAGTCACGAGTAACTTGAGGCATGAAGGTTACCAGGGCAATTGAAGATTGATCACGTGGTCTAACTGCTTGCACAGGTCTGGTTTCTCCCTCCGTATGTAAGCTGCTTCCAATTGACGCAATGTTCGAGTTTATGCGCTCGGACAAGTACTCGGAAAGATGTTTTAGGACCTATAACAAGACCGCTATCTAACAGATGTTTCTTTATAGACGAACTGGGGGTTTTTCCTGTTTGAAAGCCAATTAGGCAAATGCTCAGCGGTCCTGGTTGCCAGTTGCCTTTGCGTTCGCCCAATGCACTGCATCCGCAAGTGCATGCGAATTCATACACGAAATTTGGGGTGGCGTGCATTGGCAAGGCATCCTTTGCCCGGTTAATTGGAAGACTTTTTGTGGCACTGATGAAGATAAATTCTGCTGCGTTGTACGTTCTTTCTATGGTGCAACGCAAGCGTCGCTCCATTGCGTTTGAGACGTTGTCAACCTTAAAATGTAGACATATTATAACGGGCTTCTTTGGAACAGAATGTTCCGTCAACTTTGGCCGTAAATGGTTGCTGTGCTTCTGAATTAAGCGTGCAGGATAGCCACGATTAAATAAGGCTACTTTGATGCGGGCAGGTTCCGTATCTATGGTCTCCCTGGAGCAAATATTTGTCGCTCTTTGAAAAAAAGTATGTATTAGATTTCGTTTTCATTGTATTGACGCAAAGCTTTTAAAATGTAAGCATTGCCCTTTCCACGTAATCTTAGGGAAGACGGAGCGTCTTATCAAACCATCATCCTATCTAAACATGAGGGCGTCCAGGAAGGGTAACGTGTTAAACTTCTCCATTTCTATTGGAACTTTGATTTTCGGATGCAAATTATTCCTCAGACAAATAAGGTCGGCGGCGTCTTCCTTGTTGTCAACAATCGTGAATGTATTATCCACGTATAGCCTGTATAATGTTGTCATTTTTAATTTTGATGACAACTTTTCTTATAGGTAACCCATAAAAATGTCGACGAGGGTTGGCCCGAGAGGACTACCCATTGCGACTCCGTCAATTTGTCTGTAAAGTTCCCCATTAAACAGAAGTTGAACATCTTTGGTGCAAAGTGCCAACAGATCGCGTAGTATATCGGGGGACAGTCGACTTTCGGACTCATGGGCGCATATAACATCTATTGCTTCATCCAATGGTACCTTTGTAAATAAGGATTCAACCTCTAAAAAGATCATACACTTGTCGGCGATGTTCTGGTCCTTAATTTCTTCAATGAAGTGAAGACAGTCTTTTATCGTATAGGTGGAAAACCATTGTCGAATTGGTTCTATCTCCTTTACAAGCCATTTTGCTAGTCTGTGTGTAGGTGAATTAGACATAGAGAGAATTGGCCGTAAAGGTGTGTTCTTTTTATGCTTTTTTGGTTTATCATAGATTCTGGGGATATGTGTGCCCCTCGGTTTTAGGAATAGTGCGGTTTTAGTATCAATCAGGTTTTTGTCCAGCAACTTTTGAACCTTTTGAGATCGGTTCAAAAAAACAAAGGTCAGAACCAAAAGGCGTCAGGACGCTCAAGACTCTCAAGGCCATGTAATATTTGAAAAAAAAGACAGACTCACCGGAACGGGTTTATTTAGATGCTGACTTCTTGAAGAGCTTGGTCGGATCCCCATTGTCAATGCGTAAAATTCACTTAGTCGACCAGTAATTCCAAGTGGCATTCCACGTAGATCGGCCTCATGCTGATCGATTTTTCTCTCCTCTCGCTGCCTCGGCCTCTCGGGGGATGGTTGATGAGCGTTTTGCCTGAGTGCTTTGTGAGTCACCACTCCGTCGGGGGGAGGTGATTGAACCAGTGTTGGGTGGTCGGTCCGGCGGTTCTTGTTCTTCCTGACCGAGTAAACTCACCGTCAGGCTGTCTCCGTATGGTCCTGAGCTTTACGATTGTGATTACATATGACTTTGTAAGCTTCAGGAAGGTCCAGATGCCTATTGATAAAGTTGGCATCGGAGTACCAAGTCTCGAGAATTAACCTTTCTGCTTTTACATTGCCCCTGCCTAAGATGGTAGGTTTCTGGAGATTGAAAGTATGCCCAGTTTCTCCAGCCTGCGCTGCTAGCTGAGAGTTTGGATCTAGCCTCCAAGTCGCCGATTTGTATTCTTGTAGGCGGGTCTACAATTTCCGCCTGGTTTCCCCAACATAACTGCAGTCTCCCTCATTGCAATTTATTTTGCAGACAACTCCTGAGATTTCGGCGGATGGTAGTGTGTCCTTAGGTTGCATCAGACGGCGTCATAGTGTTTCCTGGGCTCGATTGGCAATACCTATTGTGACGGGTTGTAACAATTGAGACTCATTAAACGTAGGGAATGGTCCTCCAGACTTCGGATTGCTGATCATTTGGCCGTGGTCTGTGCGCCCGACGTCTGCTTTTCTCGATAAAATGTCTGGAATAACCTTGGGCTGCAAAGAGGTTCTGAAGAAGCAAAGTGTTCCGGTGCTGGAATCTTCTTCTTCACTTATGCATACACCTGAAACTCGAAATTTCGCCTTTATTCTCAAGATACATTCGTTTGGATCTTTTATCTACTGGCCTGCTGCAGTGTGTTTCGACTCCTTGGAATAGAGTGTGGACACAGCTACGTCTCTGAGACATAGGATGGTTGCTGTTGAGGTTTAATATCTCTCTCGTGCCGGTGGATTTTCAGAATACTGCGGTTTGCAGTTGTCCAGTTGTACACCGGCTCTATAACTAAAATCAGGGTTACTATTTTAGAATAAGTGATATGGCTTCTCAGGTTACATTTTGGGCTTGGTTTTCACAAAAAGGATTAGGGTTAGCGTTATAAAGTTATTATCAGGGTTGGTGGTCTAAGGTCAAGTTAATGGACTAAGGTAGGGACAAGTGTCAAGGTCACAAAGTCGAGTTCCGGGGTTCAAGGTACGGTTAGGATTTTAAGATTAGCTTCATGGATTTAAGGTTAACCCATGAAGACACGCCTAATGGGCTCTATGCCGACTACTAGTGAACAGAAATGTTATTTTTCGTGGGACTGACCATTCACCATCTCAGTCTGCTCCTGCGCTCGCCAGCGCGCCCACATAACATGTCACCCTTCTGTGTGTTTAGACTCTTTGGGATAGAGTTCGGACACAGCTATTTTTATGACACAGGAGAGGATAACTGTTGAATTGAAGGATGCGCCTCGTGCCAGTGGTTTGCAGTTGTCCATCTGTACACCGGCACACAAGCACAAGACATATTCCCATCAGCATATGCACACACAGCTGACTCATGGTTTTATACCCCACACCTGCCGTGATAGCCCCAACTGCCCTGCGATTACCAATTTAAGACACTAATCGAAGACGCTTTAAAGGAAAAGGAGAAAAATGGATGTTCGCTAGGGCAGTTTCACATCATAGGTGGGCAACGATCGGAGGTTGCAAACGCGTAGCACTGGCGATCCTAATAACAGTCTCGGAAAAGCGCCCTAGTCTAGGGTCACCTACCACGAGAAAGACACACCAGTCAATCTGTTTTTGTCGTAAACAGACAAATTGAAGCAGCGCTTTTCTTCATCAGCATCTTTCCTTGTGATCGTGGTCGTATTCTTCTTCGATTCATTCTTCTGATTAATGTCCTCTGGGTAAGATGATAGTTGGTAGCCGTGCCCACAGACTCTCCAATGGTACCTACTGGCTCGATTTCAGTAGCTGTGATTGCGTTCTCATTATGCTTCTTAATTCACGCGCAGGCTGTATTACCTGTATCAGATTCATTTTAGAGGTGCTATCCTGGGCAGATTTGCACCGGTAACGATGACAATGAGGCTTACCTTATGTCAACTTTCATTAGAGGAGGTAGTTGGCTGCCGTGCCCACAGAATCCACAATTGCACCTACTGGCTTGATTTCAGTAGCTATGATTACGTTCTCATTATGCTTCTAAATTTACGCTGTATTACCTGTACCAGATTCATTGTGGAGGTATTATCCTGGGCGGATTGGCACCGGTAACGATGACAATGAGGCTTTCCCTACATCAACTTTCATAAGAAGAGGTAGCTTTTGACTGCCTCATTCATTGTAGAGGTACTATCTTGGGCGGATTGGCACCAGTAACGATGACAATGAGGCTTACCCTTTATCAACTTTCATAAGCAGAGGTAGCTTTCGACTGTCTCATTATTTGCGGATCTTCTCTTCTGCCCAAACCAATTTTTCGCATAAAAGTCTTACCCAGCTTACGTTGTGGCGCCCCGCGTGCCGCTGCTTGAGTCTCGTGTTCTTCTGTCCATTATGTTGGATAGAGTTCTGTCGCACACACTGCGGAATGACCTTCGGACCAGTTGCCTTCTTCCCATTGGTTGTTCGCCATCACTTGCTTTTCTTTCCTATCTGAGGCTAGGATGCATTTATTCCGCACACCGTTCAAAGTCTCCTTGCTCATTCCCATACCTTCCCTGTATGTTTCACCTTATCTAAATTAGGCTTCCACTTTACCTGGAGCATCAATTCCTAGCATATACTACAATCGCCATTTACCCGTCCACTCAATTGTCCCACCCGTATGGCCCCTATTACCACCGGTCCCGATTGACAGGCAGCTGGGAGTTTGCGGTGTCAGGAGGGCTACCAAGTATCATCTAACCGTCCTCTGTACCACATTACCACTCACATTGATTAATCCTGCTCCAAATGGCCGCTATTTTAGTTGACCCTTACGTTTTCGGCACACAGAAGAATGTGCAGTAGGCGGGCTGACTCATGAAATGTCAACCAAAATTCCGAAATGCGTTTTCGTTTGGAAAAGATTAATTTAGTAGGGTTGTAAAACTTGTCAGCCTGCAAAATAATTCTGTAATATTTCAGTTACCTCAGGATGCCGGCTTTCGAATGAACTTCCTTCCGGCTGCATGTAAAAACTACACTCTTTAAAAAAATGACTACTTACGTATCATGGACATTTCGCATTGATTTTCGATGTTTCTAATAGTTTAATTCTATTTCATGAAAAACGTGCATAAGATTATTCATTCTTTCGCTCATTCGGTAGATAAATACGTCTTCTTCTAATTTTGTGCTCGAAGGAGGGATATAATTTGGTTTTCAAAACGTTTCTAATTGTGGGACTTTTAAACACCGTGAAATGCCCGTTCATAAATCGTCATGTCTCTGCGTTTACCAACGTGGCTTGTAAAGTTAACAATATGGATCAAATCCACTGCTAAATCTTGTGAACCCTATATAGTCCCCCTTTAGTACCGCAGAGAATCGTGTGGTTTTTCGTACACGGAAAATATACGGCTTGTGGTTTGAAAACCCCGAATCCAATTGTGATGGTAGAGCGGGTTCAAAATTATTCGGGATATGGAAAAGTTTCTGAAAACCGAGTTATACCCTTCCCTCGAGTATAAGATTGGAAGAAGACGTAATGTTCTACCGAATGAACAAAAGAATGAAGATTTTGTACATGTTTTCCATGAAATATAATTGGACGTTAAGGGCATCAAAAATCAAATAGAAAAACTCATGTTACTTAAGTAGCCATTTGTTACAGAGTGTAGCGTGTGCATGCAGCCGAAAGGAAGTTCATCCAAAGCCGGCATCCTGAGGTATCTGAAATAATATAGAATTATGTTGCAGTCTGACTAGTTTTACAACCCTACTTAATTAATCTTTTCGAAACGAAAACTCATTTCGGAATTTTAGTTGACATTTCATGAGTTAGCCCACCTACTGTATCGCCCACGTGACGTGAGCGTTAGCTTGTTCATCTAAAAATATTAGCATACAATGAAATTGAGCCATATAACAGCCCGACCGTCGGTTTCGACGATGTTCACCGTGCGCTCCACAGCAGCGTGAGGGCGCTCAATCTATATATGCTGTCTACATAGATGTAGTAAAACAAATGCCGTCGAGCAAGCTTAGTACGACGTTTGACGATATAAGGGATTAAAATCCTACTAGACAAAAATTTGCAAAGAGCAAACTGCCTCTTGTTTTAGGAGAAGAATGATTTTTTACATACCTGCCTTCATCTGATTTTCCGTTTGCTGAATGGATTTCCTTGAACATTATCTTGGTTATATGAATGTTACTTTTAACGCAACGCGTGCAAATAATAGGACTTAACAGGTGATACTTAGTAGCAAACTACGCGGGTGTCCGCAAACGCCTAATATTGGCCTGTTTTCCCACAACAAAAGAGACCTACAGTGAAATCTTCTTTAAAAAAGAACACTCTGGGATTCCAGTCAATTAGAAAAAACTAAACTAACCACACAAAACGTATGCTGTACCACCAATTCCGATACCGATCTCGACATTTCATGAGTTAGGTCACCTACTGTAGGCTGAAGTTTCTCTTTTCCGGGCCAAGCTTCTCTAACCTGCCTATATGCTTCTAACCTCGGACTTTTAGCGTTTAAGCGGTGAGAGTGTGTACTCAGAGCGCTATAATTATCAGGCCAAATCCTGACCTTTGATGAGAAGAGAGAAGGCTTCCCAGAGGAAGCCAGGG